TATGGCTGAATCTTTATTTATTGATTAGATCAAGTTACTCTGATGATAGTGTTCAAGACAGCCATATATATATATATATATATATATTATATATATATGTCTGAACTCGATCCTTAGAGTAATGTGTTACGGAGCCTTCTCTTCAATATTGTTTCCACATAACGAGCATTTTGCGCTGCTCTTTTCCAATGTGGAAGCAGAATGTGTGAAAGCATACAGCACGATGCGGGGTGTGTCTCTAGACATCTCTAGACTGGAATAGCGGGGCCCAGTCCGTGAACTCGCCTCACAGGTGCACACGCCAGGATGGAGGACATCAGACTCCAGAGAAAATGTGCTCGAGTCCGAGTCCAAGTTGGAGGATCAATGTACAAGTCGAGACGACGCTGAAGTTGGCTTCCGATTCCGAGCATCCGATTCGGCAGTTAAGGGGAAAGTTAAGGGACATTTAATTTACAGCGCTGAGCGAACAATCCTCCGTGTTTGAACCTCTTAAATCGCTGCATAGCCGATTTATTTAGACTGGATTATCCCAGAGAGTCTAAAGATTCTTTATAACCCAGTTTGAGATTTGTGAAACCTTTATTCTATTTGTGAAAATACAATCAAGGGAGATTTCAGTGCTTTGTTCGCATCCTGACCACATTAGACCAGGTCCTGATCTGAAACCACTATACCTACACTCATCAAATCTGGACTGGATTATCCCAGAGGGGCTAAAGATTCTTTATAACACAGTTTCAGATTTGTGAAACCTTAATTCTATTTGTGAAAACAAACACAGGTGGAAGGCTGAGGTTTCTGCAGCAGGCCAGGATCAGAATCAGAGAGTGAACCTCCCAGCTGGGCAAGCCTTTATGCCTTTTTGTATTTTCACAAATCTGAAACTGTGTTATAAAGAATCTTTAGACCCTCTGGGATAATCCAGTCCAGATTTGATGAGTCTAGGTAAAGTGGTTTTAGATCAGGACCTGGTCTAATGTGGACTACATGTAAAAAAAGCACTGAAATCTCCCTTGTTTGTATTTTCACAAATAGAATAAAGGTTTCACAAATCTGAAACTGTGTTATAAAGAATCTTTAGACTCTCTGGGATAATCCAGTCCAGATTTGATGAGTCTAGGTCTAGTGGTTTCAGATCAGGACCTGGTCTAATGTGGTCAGGATGCGAAAAAAGCACTGAAATCTCCCTTGTTTGTATTTTCACAAATAGAATTAAGGTTTCACAAATCTCAAACTGGGTTATAAAAATCTTTAGACTCTCTGGGATAATCCAGTCCAAATAAATCGGCTATGCAGCGATTTAAGAGGTTCAAACACGGAGGATTGTTCTCTCAGCGCTGTAAATTAAATGTCCCTTAACTTTCCCCTTAACTGCCTAATCGGATGCTCTGAATCGGAAGCCAACTTCAGCGTCGTCGAGTCCGAGTCATCGTGGGAGAAAAAAATCCCGAGTCCAAGTCAGCGTACGCGATAATTCACGAGTCCGAGTCCAAGTCATCATGCGCGAGAAATCACGAGTCCAAGTCCAAGTCCCATCAATCAGTGCGCGAGTCGAGTCACGAAAATCGGCACTCGAGTCCGACTAGAGTCCGAGTCCAGGACTCGAGTACTCCATCTCTGCCATCAAGTGCTTCATCCAAAAGGACAGGAGGATGAACTTTGTGTTTGAATGATTTGATCATCAAAGGTAGGCCTAAGTCATTTTCAATGTGGGCCGCCGTGCCGACTTAATTCATTTGTAATTGTTACTTGGCTGTGGGTGCCCTGTCATGATAGGTGTTTATATAACTGGTGTTGTTTTGTGTGGTAGAGGGTCGCTGTCATTGATGCATTTTGCACCCCGGGCCGCTGTTTTGATATTCCGCTGAAGTATACGCTGTGACGTAATAACTCTTCCTTTTTTCGAGGGAAGGGGGGTCAGAGGGCCTAGGTATAAAAGTCACGTCTCGCCACTGGATTATAGTACATTTGTAAAACCTGTTCTAAGTTAAACAGGCTGACTTCTAATTCTTCCACGACTGCTTTAAGTTTTGTAGTGAAATGTAAGGGTACTGCTGAACAAAAACCCTTGTGTCAACAGGCAAAATTGTCACTCTCAATCAGCTAATGGTCAAAAGCCCCCAGGAAGCAAGCTGGGCGTTGAAGCTAATATCCATAGAGTCTAAATGGTGGTACTACAGTTTATGTGTCAGTCACTCCTTAAAGTTGTAAAATGCGCTAAAATGGAAACCCAGAGTTATTTTCCCTCTCCATTCTTTTGACTCAACCGGACTCAACCGAGGGCGGACATTTTGTGCAGATTGGACGGAAAAACAATTCAAAGCTCCCTGCTACTACTTCCATTTCCTCCACTCAAACTCACACTCAACAGAAACGGTGGTATCTGACACACCTGTTACTGGACAGGTCCAGGTAGGTGATATTCGGAAGAAAGACAGCAGCGTGGGCAGGAAGGCTGGAAAGACGGTTGTTGTGGAGACCGAGAGTCTGGAGGCGGGGCATGTCCCTGAGCCCCTCCCAGGGGAAGGATGACAGCAGGTTTCCATCCAGACGTAGCTCTCGCAGGGCCATCAGGTTGACGAAGCTGCTGGGATGGATGGAGGTGATGGAGTTGTAGGTCAGCCACAAAAACGCAGCTCTGACAGGTTGTAGAAGGCTGCCCGGGGCACCTTGGAGATAAAGGTCTTCTCTAGACGCAGTTTGACTGTATCAGCCGGGACGTTAACAGGAACGGCTGAGATCCCAGGGTCACTGCACTGCACCAACCTGTGATGGGAAATACAAAGATGTGTCATTTCTCAGTTCAATCATTCACACTATTAGATAATTTTTGCTTGAAAATATGCAATTCTCAAACACTATTTTGCTTGTCTAATGCTTTACATTGGTTACTTATAATACGTTAATATTGTAGTTAAGGATATTTCAAATAACCAATGTGTAACATTAGTAGTGACTTTTCTTACCTAAAGGAATGCATGTGCATATTGAAAGGCTTTACAAACATGCTCAATGGATTTCCTACCAGTTGTGTTCCCCTTGGTCAACGAACAGCAGATGGACAGTAGCTGAAAGCTAAATCTTGTACAAATCAGATTTTTTCTCAATTGCAAAAGCCTTTGTTTCATATTAGAAACTTGAAAATTGAATATATAAATTCCAAATCTTCTTCTCTGATTTAGTTCACGAATATACTTATTTTCCAATTAGAATGATACATTCTCTAACTTGATTTGGTTACAAGAAGATTTCAACCCTGTCCCTGTTATCCTCCTAATTTTTTAAGTTAAAAATGAATACAATTATAGTTACTCAAATATCACGACTCGGGCACAGGGGGTAAATAAGCATCTACCAATCAAAGGGTCAGCGGGTCAATCCCCTGCAACATGTCAGTGTCCTTAGAAAATATATTTTGTCCCCAACTATCCAAATGTACATACCATTCAATACCAGACGTGACTGCGGTATTGAATAGTAAGCTTAAAAACATGTAATGGGATGTTTTAAGTTTTGTTCCAGGAGGTTCAACACTACAACACAAAGATGAGGATGAAATGAAGCTCACTCAACCTGAGCTCTGCTGCTCCAACGTTCCCATACGTGCAGGCACATAGAGCTGGACAGGACTGCACCGCCAACAGAGGAGACTGCAAGATGTGAGCGAGGAGCAGCAGAAACATCCTTCACCAGACAAACTGCATACTCAGACCAACACTTTGTATCTCCATATTCCCAGTGCTCTCCAGTCTGAGGTTGTGTCCACAGTGCAGAGTGAAACTGTATCCCAGATTAGCTGGGATTACACTGTTTACGAGCGGCATTTAATCCCACGCCCACTGTCAGTAAAACAAATCACAACATTAGAGAACGCCAACCAAAACCTTTAAGTCTACAGCATCAGTGCATGCACCTTAAATGGAATTGTTAGCCATTGTTAATGATACATGATAGTGAATGGCAAATAAACTTTAGGGACTATAGGGTTGAAAGACTCTGTGATTGAAAAATGTGTTTATTGTAAACCTGTTCAGTGCGTAATGAAACCTAAATGGTACTATGAAGTCTGGAAGATTGAGGTTCCTTTGATCCCATTATAATTATGTTGAATAAAGAGGAATAGCCTTCCCCATATACATTTGATGAGCATGACACTGTCACAGTTTTCACTCATTTGAACAAAGCATTGGTGGTTCTCTGCTTTACAGTTAACCAATTGAATGTGTCATGTATGTCTATTACTATATGTAAGAGCACTGTAATGTAAATCTTGCTACTTTACTACTAACCATTTTTTTATATTTCACTGTAGCACTGGAAGTCATTAAGTCATTTGTGTTAGAGTAGTCCATGATAGACCAGGTCTAGCCGGTGGATAATCACTGTTTCAGGTTATTAACATCAAAGTACGTTTTGGTCAAAGAGATTACCTCCATTAGTCTACCACAGTACAATATATTTTAATATAAATGTTTTCATGCCATTATTTTACTCCTACTTTAGATCAGAGATCTGTTTTGTTTTTTTTACTTAATTTGTTTAACATTTAAGATGCATTACTGGGCAAATCATAAAGGGCACACTGAAGCTTGACAACTACCAATATATGATGCATTAGCCAGGCTCTGAACATAGGGAGATCATGGACAAAACACTAAAGAAATCTGAAGCAAAAGGAATAATCACAAGAAATCTCATTAGAGAGAAATAAGCACAGATCTAAGGGTGTACACGAATAAAGAAAAATACTGCATCTAATAGGAAAACATCCTTGAGGTGACCCCTGTCAGGTGCAGGAACCAGTGGAGGTTTAGGGAGACTATTTCATTATTTAAAGCAAACAGATTTTAATTTAATTGTAAGGTAATTGTATTCCCTTTGTATGTATCGTTTTAAAGGTTTATTATTATTATTTTAATTTAAAAGATGGGCAAGATCATTTCGGTCCTCACTCCAACCCAGTAGGTGGTAGTAATGCCCCTTAACTCGAGTTGCCACCTGCCAGAAAACCACATAAGAAGAATCAGAGGAATCACAGCTCGTATGTTTTGTTTTCTGAAGTTACTGTCAGTGGACCAGCTGTAAAATGTCCACTGTAACGCAACCTGCGAATGACCAGTATGTATTTCGTCGACGTGAATTTGAAGAACAGCCTCCGGAAAACCGGAGAAGATGGCAAGCTCCTGAACATGTTTACGCTGCACGACAGACCGCTTTACATTACCAGCGATTACAGGTACAGCAAAGTACATTTAGCAAGCTAGCTGTAGCTGTTTACTTCACACCAGGCTAACTTATTTACCCCGACATTCATGAACCAGGACCCGGGGCTGGTTCGGCTGCCTTGGAGCTAAGCCTAGTGTGGTCTTATGTTATAGAAATAGTTTTTCAGTGGCACTTTAACTTACTACGACCTCCGTTTTAACAGTTTTCAGTAAGCAGTTATCCTATGGCACGAGCCCTCATAACACCAGCGCGTGAACCAAACCGTTTAATTAAAAAGGCCGACACCTGCGATGTTTTTCTTTTCGAAGGCGAGCGATACATTCTTGTACCTGGCTGGAGTTATTGATATAACGAATGCTGTTACAAAAATAATATAATACAATAGCTAATACACACCCTGTTATCAAAGCTGGTAAAGGTGCAGCTAGTCTGAATGACTTTGTATACTGCCAGGGTAGGCTTGTGAATTTACTACTCCAGGTGGAACTAAAGTCTTGATTTAAGAGTTGATTATATTTCACAATCATTAATCCAAATCTGTAATGTAACTAAAGGTATTAAATACATGGTAGTGGAGTACAAAGTACACAATGTATCTCTGAATTGTAGATGGGTATAAAGAAGTAACAAAGTAGCATTACAATGGAAAAGTACAAGTAGCCTACCTCAGAATGTGCTTAAGTAGAGTACTTGAGTAAATGTTACTCTTAACAAGAGACCACATCATGGAACAGTACACATTTAATGAATTTTCATGTCACTGCTTTTAATAATGAATTATTTGTGATTAAGGCCTTCCCGGAATGAAAGTCCTGTATATTCATTTCTAACTTGTCATTTTTCCTTTGCCTATAGATTTCCTTTTCAATCAGGGTGTTTTGTAGTCGATTTGTTTTTTGGTGCTTTCTTTATGGAAATTTGAGTGGTAAAGAAAGTCAGTATGTAGAATATATTACAGCAACTGCAGTGGTGTGTTCTGTGGTACCATGGCAGGCAGGAAAGGGTGTGCCTCAGAATGCGTTCTACAGTAAAGGAAATCAATCCTTATACAGTAAATGGGATTACAGGCTGCCAGTGAGAACAGTAGGGGCAGGGCTAGCAATGGAAACGGAAGCCTTATGACCCAAAAAGTGTATCACTGTGGTCCTTTAGTTTTTCCGCTGTGACGGTATTATATCAAATTATTACAAAAATAATGAGGATATTATTCATCTGAATTTCTTAACATGATTCTACCTTTTTTTAACTCTATTTGCAATGTAAGGGAACATATCTTAAGAAAGTAAAATATATTAACACAATAATAATAGTAATGAAAATAAGATATAAGCCTACAAGTGTTCTGGGTGAAGTAGCCTTATTGAGTAAGTGTAATCATGTCATCATTATTTTTTATTTACAGGTTATCGACGATATATTTTGTTGCTACCCTTTTGCTAATCCCAGACTAAATGATAAATAAGAATAGAAATCCTTCTGTCATAGAGCAAATAATTATGATATTTTTTAATTTAACAAAATAAACAGTGGCATTATGTTAACAAACTGGTAATTAAAATTCTGAAAATGAATTAATATTTGGGTGTTATGATCAGTTCTGGTTAAAAAATATAGCTCAGTGAAATGTAATGATAATATTAATCAAAATTATTTTTGAGGTAGTTTCTTTACAGACGTTGTTGTCCTTTAATGACATCAGAGAAACATCTTTAAAGTGATGAACATGGTTTTTTTTCACAACTCCCCTCCATCATCGGGTCTATTTTGACCAAGTAGAGACCGTGACAGATGCTCCATTTTATAATTAAAAAAAAAAAAAATGGAACACAAATATTTCTATAAACATAAGAAGTTAAAGTAAAATGTCAAATTAAAGATTAAAAGAATAAATAGTGTAACCAAACCTGATGACGGTTAAAGTAAAATGTCCAATAAAAGATCAATAGATATTTATATTAGATGTTTATATTAATATAAGAAGACAAATGAGGACTGATATATATATTAGATGTTTATATTATATTATGTTTATATTAATATAAGAAGAGACAAATGAGGACTGAAATAAAAATGGATATATAAACATAAGAAGTTTAAAATGTGCATATTGCACTACTATATACTAATTTAGATGTATATCACAATATAAACAGAATAGGAGTGCCTCTGGTTTAGTAGAATCGGAGGATAAACCCTCTTTATTGGTCACACATACATGCACACAGCACACACAGTGACATTTGTTCTCTGCTTTTGGTCTCTGCTTTTAACACATCCTAGTACTAGGATGCTATTGTACGGCGTCCGGGGAGCAGTTGGGGTGTAGGGTGTCCACTGTCCAATACCTTGCACAAGAGCACCACGGCAGGGCCCAGGAGTTGAACTGGGACCTCTCCAAGTACATGTAGCAGTCCACACTCCATATTTTAAGTCTCTTCGGGGACTTGAACCGGCTCCCAGTCCAAGCCCCTACTGACTGAGCCACTGCTGGACACGTTGTGTACTGATGAGCTCTTTATATCTGTGTGTGTGTATATATAACCTGTTCTAAACATTGTTCCCACAGGCTGAAAGCAGCCGGCCCCGACCTGCCCCCCCCAGGGACCCCAGCAGCAGATGGCCCCTCGTGGACGACCCCACCACCAGAGAGCCTCAGCTGGACGACTGTGAGCGCATGGGGACTCTGTTCGGGATGCTCAACAAGGGTCTGCGGAGGATGGGCTTCAGCCAGATGTACTTTGGGGACAAGATAGTGGAGCCGGTAGTGATCGTGTTCTTCTGGCTGCTGCTCTGGTTCCTGGGAATCCAGACCCTGGGGCTGGTGGGAACTCTGTGCATCATCATCATCTACATCCAGAAGTGACGGGGGCGGAGCCTGCTCTTCGCTTGGGTTAATGCTTCCATCTGCGGGACTTTTGTCATGCGAATGGATTTGAGGGGGGCGTTTGAGTGATGGTGACTAGCAGCTTTCTGCAATTGGTTTGAAGCTTGTTCAGTGTTTCAGAGGGTCCCTTCTTCAGGATTGATTTTCCCTAAGATACAGGAGTGGTGTTTGTCCCGCTGCCTCTGCTATTATTCTGTTGAAATGGCATGGAGAGCTGCAGGAATGAGTCCTAAACCAGGATATGAGTTAGCATTTGAACACTTCCTGTTCCCTTGTCTCAAAGTTTTTTTTTTAACATGTTTTTGGTTATATAGCTGAAATAAGATCTGTGGTTAACAAAATATTTTCAATTTCCAGAAGTAACACATGTCAGTAAATACCCCCACTGGTGCATGCCTGAAGCTTTTATGTGTCATAAAAACAGAGGTTGAATACTAGTTAGTAAATAAGACTTCTAAAAGTAATCTCGCCGAATATTAGCCGCTTTTAGCTTAGCGGTGGTCACATAAAGTCATGTGACCATGATTGTCAAGGTTGTCTATTTATAGCATTAGCTAACGTTAGCTTTTTAACTCTTGCAGTAATTGCAATTACGCTTCAGAAATCATAAAGTGGTGTAAATATGTGCAAATGATCCTGCTGAACACAACATGTAACATGTTATATCAATGTGTTTACCATAGATCTTATTTTCAGCAATATTTGGAAATCCAATGGAAAAGCCCCATTGATTTTTGTCGAGGGAGCCATTAAGATGCTAAATTTTGGGTCGGGCTACAAAAATAAGTCTTCACGGCACCACTCTATAGATGATCTGAACAGGAAGACGTTGTTGGAAATAGCTAGTTTCAGTTTGAATCGGAGACTAAAGAGTGAAGGACTGAAGTGGCAGCAAAAAGATTGGAGATCTTCACTGACATAAAGAATGTGAACGTGTTGGGTAATCGTATAACCCATCCGAAGGAAAGGTGTCTGAAAGTAAATCTGACACCTTGTGAAACCTATGCTGTAAAACGTTTACTTTGTGAAAGGGAAATATATATTGATAGCTGATTAATGAGAAAATATTGTTCTAAAAGTGACACTTCAGGTTTCTATTCTGGGGACCGGTTCTGGATAACTGTCTCCTTTGCTTTATGTATCTTGGTGCCTGCTAAATGAAATGCACTTTGGTATGATGGTGTATTGGGCCATTGTACGCTAAACAAATACTACGTAGCCAGGGAAGAAACCCATTCACAAGAAACACCAAATATTATCTGCGATTCATAAAAAGGGCATTGATTCAGTTTTCAATGTTGGCGTGACCTCAGCCCAGCTTGCTGTGTATTTTTCTAATTATACTTTACAACGGTAAAGGTTTCAGCAGTAAGAAAATAACATATCAATATAAGCATCCATGTTCCATATACTGTCCCTCCTCATGAACATGTAGGGCTGTAACAAGTGAAGTGTTAAATGAAGAGAAAATATTGTTTTGGGGAGGCTAAAGGCCATCAAATATGGATAAAAGAAGAATATTCTAGATGGATATAAACATTTTGTCCATTTCAGATATGATCTTCCTTTTTTATTTTTAAATACTTGTTCACTTTTGGACCTAGAGCTTTGGTTGTGTTTGAGTGACAGTTATTAGTTTGTCATGATTTATGTTGGATTGCTAACTTCCTTCCCTGGCTCTGAAATTCGTATTTGTTTTACTTACAATGCTCGTAATATGTCCTAGTGCTTCGGTAACTCTCTAAAAAGGATGAATTGATTTCAAAGGGAACTGACCGGAATGTGGCGTGTGTAGTGTCAAAATAAGTGGGATAATTGAATATATTGTATTTGAGACCAAATATGTTTCAACAAAGCTACACCTTTATACTGATGCAAAAAGATGCATGCAGATCCACCTTCTGATACTTTATATATCATTTCACTGATGCTTTTAATCCAAAGCTAACCTGCACTTTATCCTGTAGACAAGCCTACAGGAGAGATTTGGTGCTGCAGGGGCTGGGAATCAAACCGCTGACCCTCTGATTGGTAAATGCTTATCTCCCCTGTGAGTCGCAGGTCGCCCACACACTGACAGTTTGTGCAGATAGATACACTGGAGTGTTAAGTTGACATTCACAAAATGAAATGATTCATAGAACTGCTCAATATAGCATATCAATATCAGACCTGCTATTGTTTTGGGCATTTTTGTGTTTCTATTTACATAGAAACACATCTTTGTTACCAAGTCAGGTGCCTATGAATACAGGGCGGCTCTCGTTTCTTGATGGTATCCTATTTACAGCACGTACCGTCAGAGCTCGAGGCTGACAGCATTCAGTTGCATTATATTTTACAACAGTCGGAATTATGACCTCCTTCAGTTTTTACCATGGTATCAAATTACATATCAGGAATCGTGGAGATTTCACAGGTATCGACTACTAACATTTCTGGTATTGGGACTTACCTAGAAGTTACAAAATTGTCTTAACCTGTCAGACCGATTGTATATTTGTCTCTGCTTTTATTATCTTATCTGATATCTGTCATCATGAGGTTTATATGTGTTGCTGAAGCATTCTCAGGTGTTGCAAGTGTAACACTTCTATGTAAAAGGTTGCTTTCAATGAGGAGCAGAAGATAATAAAAATATAAAGAACAATATTAAACATAGCCGGCATTTTATAAACATTATACACTTTCAGCAAAAACCAGTACCGTTTCCTCTTCATGAGACACTACTTTCTGGCTGTGCGTTTTCTTCCCCATTTTTCGTTTGTAATTAACTTTCGGTTGTATTGGGCTACATAACTCATTCAGGTTCACTGGAATGTGAGGGAGACTTTCCTCAGTTCCTACAATCTGATGCTGAGGTGAGTGCTGAATTTGGATTTCTTCACAGTTTTCCTCAACTTTAACTCCATTGGGTTGGAATGCTGGAACGTCAGGATTGAGAGAAGACACATTAAAGCTCAAATCCACTTCCTGACTCTCAGAGACACATTGGTCTTCCATGTGAAAGTCTCTTCCTGCTGTTCCTTCAGTGTGAGGCTCTCCTCCGAATCCACTATTCTCTTGTGTGATCGGGCTACTTTGTTCCTTGTCCATCAGTGTGACTGCTGTCTCTTCCATCAGTGTGTCGTAGTGGGAGTAGTACTCAACTTCATCTTCCATGTGAGACATTTCATCTTCAACCTCAGCGAGAGCTTCAGGAACATCAGGAAGTGAAACTGTATTTGGTTCTTGTCTGGTTTTAGATTTTTGAGGGCATACCTGTTCAACATCAGACGGTAGAAATCCACAGGGCAAAAGCAAGTCTCTGTAACACTTTTTCAGGTCCTCCTGTGTTCTCTGGCACCATGACATAGACAGGTGAGTCTTGGATTTGTTTAACCACAGTGTATATGGTTTTACTCCAGCGATCAGCAATTTTATGTTTTCCCCTGAAACTGACATTTCTTACGAGGACTCGGTCTCCTGCTGCCAGGGTAGATTCTCTTACTTTGTTGTCATACCTCCGTTTGTTCTGAAAAGCATTTTTCAGACTATGTTCAGTAGCTAAACAGTAGTTTCAGTTAGACATTCGGTCAACTTCTTGACATACTCTGAATGAGATAGTTTGGACCTCTCTGGACTCAGACCAAAGGCAATGTCAATTGGAAGCCTTGGCTGCCGGCCAAACATGAGTTGATAGGGAGAAAAGCCTGTGGTGTCATTTTTTGTGCAATTATATGCATGAACGAGGGGTTGCACAAAATCCCTCCATTTGACTTTGTCTCCCTCTTCAAGTGTTCCCAACATTGCAAGAAGGGTTCTGTTGAATCGCTCCACAGGATTTCCACGTGGATGATAAGGTGTAGTCCTTGTCTTTTTGATGCCTAGAAGTGAGCAAAGCTCTTTGATCAGGGTTGACTCAAAATCACGACCCTGGTCGCTATGCAATCGCTCAGGAAATCCATAGTGGATGAAAAAGTTGTTCCATAGAGTAGCTTTGCTACCGTCTTTGCTTTTTGATCTGCTGTAGGAACTGCAACGGCATATTTTGTGAAATGATCCGTTATGACCAAGATGTCCTTGGTTCCTCTTCCATCGGGCTCAAGAGAAAGGTAGTCCATGCCGACTAGCTCCAAAGGGCGGTAGGTTCTTATATTCACCAGTGGAGCATTCCTTTCAGCTCGTGCCTTTCTCCTGACACACCTCTCACAAGTCCGGATTTTTTCATTGACATCAACGGCCATCCGTGGCCAATAGAATCGGGCATGAACTAAGTCAAGGGTTTTCTCCACACCCATGTGCCCAGCAGCATCGTGGAGGCTTTCAAGTGATGTTTTTCTCTGACTCTTTGGAAGGACAAGCTGATAGGAAGGTTCTCCTTGGCTGATGTGTTTTCTGTATAAGACTCCATTGATCATGACCAATTGGTCCAATACTCTCAACATCAGCTGGACTTCTCTGTCTTCCCACGGCCTTGTTCTGTATGTCAGACGGTTTCCTAAATTCAAGGTGGCAATTACTCTACTGATGATTTGATCTTGTCCCTGTTAACGTACCCAGTCTTCAAGTGACATTTGTGGCAATGTACAGGACCCAAGCACATCAGTTTGATGGAAACCTGCTGGTATGGCAGTGACATCAATTGCCAGGCACTCAATAGGCACAGGCTGGATTGCTCCTGGATCTGCAACTGAAGACAACTGATGCCTCTGACACACAGCTTTCACAGCTTCACTTGGGAAATCAGTTCCTTTGTCATTTTTCAGGAACTGAGCAATGAACCTCTCAATGCGGTTATCCTCATCCTCAGTACTGAAATCCACTGTGTCTTGGTCATGAGGATGTGGACGTATATAAAGAGCATCTGCATCTTGGTTCTTTTTCCCAGCTCTGTACTGGATATTAAAGTCAAGCTGGAAAAGAGCAACCAACCACCGATGCCCTGCTGCATCAAGTTTTGCAGACGTCAATATATATGTGAGCGGGTGTTGTTATCTGTCATGACTGTGAATTTGGCTCCATTGAGTCCTGGACTTCGAGTCGTGGCTGAACCTATCTCTGCGGTCCTGCCTGACTCATCATACTACTTCACTGATAGCTCCCACAGGATTGCTGACATCCTCGTGGATTCATCTTCTTATTATAGACACACATGCATTTCCAAACATTTGGCCTACCTATGTTGTAAAATGTATTATCTTTTCGATTTACACACGGCATCTATTGCACGTCTGTCCGTCCTGGGAGAGGGATCCCTCCTCTGTTGCTCTCCCTGAGGTTTCTCCCATTTTTCCCTTTAAACTGTGGGTTTTCTCTGAACGTTTTTCCTTGTACGATAGGGGGCGCTAGGGGCGCCGCTCACCCTCTTTCCCACATGTTTGATTGTCATTACAAATAACAAATAAATAAAAATATATATTTTTATTTTTAATGAACAAAGTAAATATTATATAATTGGTATCAGTAAAATGTATAATCTACAATAAAATCTCGTTTTAAAATGTTTTACGATATCTAAAGTTACTGATAAGTCACATATTCCTGCCTGGCCGCAGCGTGTATTATTACCCTCTCTCGTCCGGGCGGTAGAAAGGAGCCCTCAGCCAGAGCAGCAGCAGCCAACAAGCTGACTGTTGCTATCTGTATACTATGCCGCCGAAACATAATTTCAGCCAATCAGTGTCGTCAGATCTGATGCTCAAAGGACGCCCTGTCAGCGCCCTGGCCTGTGTGTCTGTGAGTTGTTTGGACTCGTATCCAGAGTTGGGTGTAACGTGTTACTGTAATAATATTACTTTTGTCTGTAACGGAGTAGTGTAACGCGCTACTTTTATAATTCAGTAATCACACTACAGTTGCCCCGATACGCGTTACTTCGTTACTTACTAAAATCAGTCATCAAACCTCAACAAACACCTGCAAAGAACAACATGCTAAGGTGAAGCTAACGCACAGCTATTTGTTGTTTGTTTATATCACGTAGTCTGTTCTTCTGCTCTGTTTTCCGGTTGTTGCCTGTTTGAATGACGAATACACACCTACCGCCGCCTGCTGGTAAGGATAGTTATTGCCACGGCAAGGCAAGGCAAGGCCAGAGCCCTAGAGAGATAAGAGTTACGACACTCCCATAGACCTCCGTTGTAAAAAATGGCGGTGCCTACTTCCGGGGTATGGACATCGAAATAGTTCAAAATATTGTCATTTGGGCGTTGAACCTCATTCACTTACATTACGGCGCGTCGATTAGTTCCAGAGGTAAGTTGCTGAAATATCGAACTCTTTTGAATTGTCAACTGTCTATATTGTATCAGAGGCCCTTTATGATGCTTATACTGGTCTTCATTTGTATATGCACAGCGTAATTATCTATATTTTATCTTGGTTGTTACAACCAATTTAGCTAGCATTGCCTGCTAGTTAGCTAGCGCGACTTCGTCAGCTTTGAAGGTAAGATTTCAGTAATGAATCGCTAGCAGCTTATATATCAATGATGCTGGGTAACTAACAAGCAGGATTTAGATTGATTATGTGTTTTTATTGTTATTTTGGTTTTTATCCGCTGAACCTGACCGTGTCAGCCATCCTTAGTCGGCTTTTTCTGTATGATATGACTTAACTGCTAGCACTAGTACAGGGGTGGCCAACCCGCGGCTCTCGAGCCGCATGCGGCTCTTTGCCTAGTTTCATGCGGCTCTTCAGTTCATATCGAATTGTATATGTGTGAGTTTGGGGGAGAGACACTGACTCCTGACTAGTGTTGCACGGTGTTCCGATACTTGAAAGGTATACCGCGATACCCTGTCGTTAAAATCGTTACGATTCCTCCGTTTCATTAGTATCGGTACTTTAAGAATGACGGGGGAAAGTACTCCGGTGAGAAAGCGCTGTTTTAATAAGAGCCGTGTGTGTTCAGCGCTCTGCTTCCACTCCCTGCACTGCGGCCGTGCCTGCAGTCCCTCCCTCTCAAGCACGCTCTAAATCCCTCCCCTCTCTCATGCACGCGCTAGCTGCCAGAGAATGTGAGAAAACGAGAAGCATGGCTGCAAGTGGGAGTGCAACTGCCGCTGCGCCTCGGCTTGTTGACAAAAAAATATGCCAGAAGCTAAATTTGGAAGTATTTGAGCTATATCTCTGACAGTGAGGGCAAGCCTACGGACACCACGAGGCCTGTCTGTAAGAAATGTATTAATTTTATTTAATACGAATTCTTGTCATTTATTGTATTTACTGTTCTCATTGTTTAAAAGTTTGTGTTATGGTTATGATTCTGGTGTGACATAAAGCACAATAATTACATTTAAGACTGTTTCCCGTTTTTTAAGAAAAATAATCGGAATCGCAATTCTTGACTTGGTATCGAAACCAAAATGTTGGTATCGTGACAACACTGACAGTTAAACCTGATATTTAGTAGGTCTGTTAAGTATTGAATGCTGATCATTCTGACGTAATTTGGCCGGTCAAAGTTGTTTGGGCTCGGATAAAATCGCTCCGTTACTTTCGTCCCGTGTTACTTTCGTCCCGGCTCTCCCTACGTGTGTATGTGTGGTGTCAGGTGTCAGTATGAGAGGATGACAGCGCGTCTAATTTTGATGTGGCCCAACAGCCAATCACAATAATACCTGCAATGCAGTGAACCAATCACCTTTGAGGGGGGAAACCTATTGTTGATTAAACACTATTCAGTGTTTCCCCTACCATTGTCTTGGAGGGGCACTGCGAGCCGCCAACGGAGCCCCGCGCCCCTCCTGAAATTCAAGGTGTTATATATATACTTTTAAAAAATATATATAGCATCAAATTGCAAATAATCTATAACTACTGTCACTTTTCACATTGAACATGTGCTCTTTTATTAAATAAACTAAACGCTTTCATTTTAATTTGTGGGTTTAGTGTTTTTGACCCTAAGAAACACTGATGCATTAATCAATAACAATAATACACAGCTCCTCTCTCTGCTCCAGAGGATTTTAAAAATATATCCCAATGCCACAAAAATGAATCAGTGACGTGGTTGAAATCTTGTCTCCAGAAAACAAAAAACTGAAACAAGCGGTATCAGTGACTGTGTGTTTGATGTGGCTCTTTGCAGAAACATAGAAAACATGTGGCTCTTAACCTCTGACTGGTTGGCCACCCCTGCACTAGTAGAAATGAGGTGGCGTTTGTGATAAATATTTCATTTAATATTTCATTGAATTTTGGGATATACTAACATTTAATTATGTGACATGTTGACTGTACTTTGTTTTTTTTGGTACTGTTCCGTGTTAACTCATCTGTACTGTACAACTAGCCTAGCGCTACTTTTTAATACTTGATGGCATGCTAGGATAGATTCCTTTGTATTGTAATATACACACTAGTTTAATGATTGTTCTTCAAAGGTATTATTCAGTCTTAAACAAATAATAGCCTACTGAATAGACTACTCTACAGCAGTGAATGAAGGATGAGCCTAAAACATGGTCATGCATCCAAAATGTTTATTTTGAACAAAATAAACACTTTAAAAAAAATAATTAGCACTTTTTTAAAAATGTTTATTTTGAACAAAATAAACACTTTAAAAAAAATAATTAGCACTTTTTTTTATTCAGCCTCATATGTCAGCCTCATATGGCTGTTGCTGCTGCTGCTGGAGGAGGCTGCTGCTGCTGGAGGAGGGTGCTGCTGCTGAAGGAGGCTGGTGCTGCTGGAGGAGGCTGGTGCTGGCAACGGCTGCAGGTGATGACTGCTGAAAGAAGAGGAGGCTGGAGGCTGCTGACGGTGGACCGGGAATGGAGATGCCAAGTACATCGATGGCAACGAGTAAGGTGTTTGGCAGTGGCCTAGATGTTATGACCTTCGGTGCAGAGGTCTGTTGGGTCTTCTTTGCCTTCTTACTCTGACTCTTGCTGCCAAGATACCCTTTATGTTTATCCTTCCTCTCAGCCCTGATGCACTTTGATGCAATCCTTAACCTCAGCCTGATGTATGTTGAGAGGATTTTTTTCTTCAGGTCATGGCATGAGGGAAGGTTGCTGTCCAGCAACATGGCTTCTTGTTCCAGCTGTGACACTGCATTTGAGGACTCCATGAGGGAATGCTCGTCCTCACACGGAACATCTGCTCCACGTTCTGAACAAGGGTGAAAACCTCATCAGATGGACGGTAAAGTGCACCCCTTTTAAATTATTTTAATACCAGCAGACCAGCTCTCTCATTTTCACCATCACTGACATTTTTCACTAGGGCACACTGGCATTTGTCACAAAGTGAGAAGCTGATGACCCTTTTCACAATGTATCCTGCAAGGTGGTATAGCACACAGGACTCGGTTTTAGTGATGTCAGGTGGTGTTGTCAGGTCTACTAGCTGCTCCACTCTCAGAACGTCAGGAGGACTGCAGCTGCTGTTCTGCGTGTCCAGGAAGTCTGCCAAGTGGTCTGATCCATCCTCCACGTAACTGCCAGTATGCACTGGCGATAGGAACTGGCCCACAGTGACAGCGCGCAGAGCATATTGGAACTCTCCAGGTGTTGGGACAGAGTTCCTCAGACGAATGGACGAAAATGTGTTTTCCAGGCAGTCTTGAGTGAAGCGGCTTGTGAGAACAAATTTGTGCCCTTGTCTCAACAGGTCATGCTGGACCTCCAGGCTGGTTTCCAGCTGCCCTTGGGACCGATCTTCAGGCCCCGAAACAGATGGATGGAGTCCCGGAGGAAGCTGATGGCCTTATCATACTCCTCCATCTTGAAATGACTTAGGGCAGTAACAGTGTTGCGTGACGACATGAGGTCAAACCAGTGGTCCACCGTCTCCAAAAACCATGCAGTGGTAAGGTAGGACTCTGGTCTGTGCTCCTCTGCCACCATGTACCTCAGGGCAGCACTCGATGACTTGGAGAAGACGTGCATTGCTGAACTGACCTTCATTTTCTCAAAATGACTAGGCTCCAGGACGCCTCGAGACAGCTTAGGTGCCAGTTTTAGGGCCATTCCCTCTTGGTATGACACCAGATCCTTCAGGGGGCCAACAGACACCACACTGGACGGCAGCTTCTCTTTGTCCACCACATCCTGTGGTATGGTGATGACGTGACCATTCACCAAGGCACTGTTTAAATTCTTCACCACGTGTGGAACATCAGGCATGAAGTACAGGTGCTGGTGTGGCTTCACAGGATGTGCTGTCCACGGCTTGTCATAGGTCACCCCAAAGGACTTCCACATAGCCCTATTGGGGCTCCCCATATCAGTAGTGATGTTAACCACATGAAGCCCTATAGATGCCGCTGCTTCAACGATGGTGAGTATTATGGGCCGGTACACTGCACCGTCAGTAGAATTACCACTGTAGTGGTAAGCCACAACCTGTTTCCACCGCGTAGTAGCGGACCAGCCAGCATGAACACTAAGGCATGAGTGGCCTGGCCTTTGTGGCCAGGTAGTATTGTGTTCCCAAACAGCCTCCCTGTTCCCAGATGCAGCTCCACGCTAGGGGTGATGGACATCTCATCCAAGGTGAGCACACATTTCTTCTCCATCTCACTCATGCCATCTGCCTTCAGCCTCAGCATATCAAACACCTCCCCCAACACTCCTGGCTCCAGTTTGACGTGCTGCATCCTCCTCTGAATGGTCCTGATGTCAGGCAGAGGCATATTCATGGCTTGGAGGGTTTTATATCCTGTAGTGCCACAACAGAACCTTAGTTGTATTGCTTTTTTCACGGTTTCTTTCCCCCACCGTATCCCACCTTTTTTTGATTGCCCAAGTGCTCTAATTTGGTCTGTGTTGAAGATTTGTTTAAACTTTAGATTAATCAAATTGTGTTGTTTTTTTAATGCCGAATTAATCCTTTTCCGTTTTACCAGAGCCCTCTCTGCTCTCTTTCTTAATAATCTCTCCCTTCTCAGTTGCCTCATTAGATCCTCCACGTGAGCCCGGTCACAACTGGCCCTTGGCAGTCTGGTCCCTGGAGCACCTGACCCTGGCAAACTGGCCTCTTCATAGCTGACCCCTGACTGACTGGCTCCTGGCACACTGATCTCTGGTAAGGTGGCCTCTTGATTGTCGGCCCCCTGACATACTGGCCCCTGGCAGTCTGCTGACATCTGTCTCACTCTCTCTGTCTGTTATGTCCCTTTCATTCCCTTGGAACTCCACCTCAATATCTCCCTGAATCTCTGTAACAATAACAAGGCAATTGCTGTTATATGTGTATGCTGCCTTTACATGTGCACCTATTGTCATTTAAGGGTACACTACACTCCTATAGTGACATTCATCTAAGTTCGTCTATTGGCAATGTTAAAGTATGAAGAAATCTGTAGATTATCTACATGTGGTATATGAGTCTTCAGAGAATCCCTGAACCCTGGTAGTTTTGAAGCTGTATAATCTGAAGGTTGCATTAGGAGTGTAGTCTATCCTTGAATTATATAACATGGGAAACAATGTTAGCTTCATATATCATACCAATGTTTGATGTGCCATAATAGGTGTGGTCATTCATTCCTGACAGCTGGAGGCATACTCCTTGACGTGGATTTCCTCCTTTTCGGCTTAGGCCGATGTATAAATATTGTTGGAACAGCGTCTGGCCTCAACCTCAAATTTCCTCCTGATTTGTTGCCAATATATTGGTCGTCTTCAAAGTGTACCTGTAGGTAGGTAGGTAGGTAGGTAGGTAGGTTTGATCAGTTTCCACTCCACACTTCAAATGTCATTGAAGAGTCATAATTCTCTACACTTGGAAATATGATGCCCTTAAAATGTTAACAAGTCATGTCCACCTCTGTGAACATTACTTACATGACAGAGTTTTCTGCTGTTGTTGTTGTCCTCTGTCAGACACAGGTTTTGTCTGTTGACCATTGCCATCCATCTCTTCCTTCGCTCTATGTCCTTAGGGAAGCCATACATCCGGAACTCCTTCTCGGATCGATTAGAGCATCCAAATGTTGCACATCCAACCATGGTATGACAACTGATCTATTAAAATGCAATATAAACGAAAGTGCCATAATATTTATTGTGCAAACATTTTAACATGAATATTGCTATGTCCTCTGTTCAGTCTGCTCCCAACTGTATTCTCTCCCCTTATTCACCACTGTGCCTATTCTTGCTCTGCTTTTTAGGGCCCAGGAAACAGATGAAGAGGATGTCCTTTTCACAAAGGAACCTTTTTGTTTTTTTTCAAAATGGTTAGGATGCCCGAGAGTTCTGTATTGCTTTTTTGTAAATAGTATTGCTTTTTTGGAAATAGTTGCTTACCCTAACCCTTTTTTGTAAATAGTATTGCTTTTTATAAATAGTTGCTTGTAAATATTTGTAAAATGCCCCCCCCAAATGTGTTATTCACACTCCTGACTCCAGTTTGATGTGCTGCATTCTCCTCTGAGTGGTCCTGATTTCAGGCAGAGGTCATGGCTTGGAAGGTTTTATATTCTGTAGTGTCTCAACAGAACCTAATATGAATTGCTTTATTGTCTCGTCGCTGGATCACCTCCCCCTGGCAAAGTGGCCCTCGTTATTGTTGACAAACCTGTTTTTGTTGCTGGTTCAACAGGAGCTTCTGTAAATAGTTTTGTAAATAGTTTGAATATTTATCATAGCAATCATTTTTAGTCTCCCACTCTCTCAATTTAATTTATCGTTTCTTTGCCCCACCATATGTTTTGTTGTCCAAGGGCACTCATTTGGTCTGTGTTGAAGATTGTTTTTACACTTTAGATTAATTAAAATTGTGTTTTTTGGCTGAATTAATCTTTTTCTGTTGAACCCTAACCCTCTTTGTTCTCCTTCTCATTCATTTTACTTTGTTTTGTTCTAACACACATCCCACATCACATCACTTTTTCCATACACTGTTCTTAATACTTGTTCACCACATTTGTTCGTCCCTTTTACTTTGTTCTTCCTGTTGTTCTTGTTCAAACACATATATCAATTGTTCATCCACTGTTGTGGTAAAATGATATTCATAGTCTTAACATGATCATGCTACCCATGCTAACATGAACACAAACGTTTCCCTCCAAAAATGTAAAACGTATCTAAGTAATAGGCTACCAAGCTTTCCGTTGTCACCCTGCCTCTCCAAATGCAAAACTGTCAATAAAAAGTATGCAATAATGCAATTACAGCTGAAAAAGTACTTGGGTGTGTGTGTTTTTTTTATATATATATTTACCATTCAATAACGCAATCGCTGCTGTCTGTCTGTCCCATAGAAGAACATGACAGCGCAGCGCAACTATACTACGGACGTGACTGCCTTGGCAGTGACGGCAACATAGCCTGCTTGTGCTACCACACTTTCCCCTCAAAATATCGTTAAATAACGAAACTTATAAATAGTGCCAATCCATACAAAGTGTAACCACATCATGTAAATATGAAAGCAATCTTTAAAAAATAACAGCGTTGGTTTAATCTATGACTATTTTGAGCATGTTTGTGCTGTTTTTGCCATAGAGAAGCATTGCAACGGAAGTGCGTTTTGAACTATCCCGGCATACATAAACCACGTGACCGGCTGGCGGCGACATCAAAGAGTGTCGTAACTCTTATCTCTCTAGGGCTCTGGGCAAGGCAAGGCAAGTTTATTCATATAGCACTTTTCAACACAAGGCAATTCAAAGTGCTTTACAAAAAATGAAAGACATTAAGAAAATGGCATTTAAAATCAGTCATTAAAAAGAAAAGCTAATAAACTTTAAAAGAAAAAATACATGGATAAAAGTTACAGTGCAGTCTAAGATATGAATAATTCAATTAAAAGCAGCGACAAAAAGAAAAGTCTTCAGCCTGGATTTAAAAGTAGTAAGAGTTGCAGCGGACCTGCAGGTTTCTGGAAGTTTGTTCCAGATATTTGGAGCATAATAACTGAACGCTGCTTTACCATGTTTAGTTCTGACTCTGGGGACAGAAAGCTAACCAGTCCCTGAAGACCTGAGAGATCTGGATGGTTCATAATTTAGCAGGAGGTCAGAAATGTATTTTGGGCCTAAACCATTCAGTGCTTTATAAACCAGCAGCAGTATTTTGAAATCTATTCTTTGACACACAGGAAGCCAGTGTAAAGACTTCAGAACAGGAGTGATGTGATCCACTTTCTTAGTGTTAGTGAGGACTCGAGCAGCGGCGTTCTGAATCAGCTGCAGCTTCCTAATAGATTTTTTAGTGAGACCTGTGAAGACACCATTGCAGTAGTCGAGTCTACTGAAGATAAAAGCATGGACAAGTTTTTCCAAATCCTGCTGTGACATTAGTCTTTTAATCCTAGATATATTCTTTAGGTGATAGTAGGCTGATTTAGTAACAGTTTTAATGTGACTGTTGAAACTCAGGTCAGAGTCCATGACTACACCTAGATTTCTGGCTTTATCTGTTGTTTTGAACATTGCACACTGAAGCTCAGTGCTAACTTTGATACGTTCTGCCTTGGCTCCAAAAACCATTACCTCAGTTTTATCTTTGTTTAATTGGAGAAAGTTCTGACACATCCAGTCATTGATTTGTTCAATGCACTTACTCAGTGTTTGAATTGGAGCATAGTCTCCTGGTGAAATTGTTACGTAAATGTGTGTGTCATCTGCATAGCTATGGTAACTTATTTTGTCGTTCTTCATTATCTGAGCCAGTGGTAGCATGTAGACGTTAAAGAGAAGAGGCCCCAAGATGGAGCCTTGAGGTACCCCACATGTCATATTTGTCAAATCAGATGTGTATTTACCTATAGAAACAAAGTTGTTTCTGTCCTTTAAGTAGGATTCAAACCAATTTAGAACTGTTTCCGAAAGTCCCACCCAGTTCTCCAGTCGGTCTAGTAATATGCTGTGGTCAACAGTGTCAAACGCAGCACTGAGATCTAATAATACTAACACTGAAGTTCTGCCACTGTCTGTGTTTAAGTGGATGTCATTAAAGACCTTTACAAGAGCAGTCTCAGTGCTGTGGTTTGGACGAAAGCCTGACTGGAACACATCGAAACAGTTATTTAAATGCAAGCAATTACTCAACTGTTGAAAAACTACTTTTTCAATGATTTTACCTAGAAATGGGAGGTTTGATATGGGCCTGTAATTGTTCATTACTGAAGCATCTAGATTATTCTTTTTTAAGAGCGGTTTAATGACTGCAGTTTTCAGGGCCTGTGGAAAAATACCTGAGTGAAGAGATTTGTTTACTATATGAAGTAGATCTGAGGCCATGCAAGGCAAAACATCTTTGAAAAATCCTGTTGGAATAATATCAAGGCAGCAGGAGGAGGATTTCAGAAGTTGTATAATGTCCTAGGTTTTTATCATTAATCTGATGGAATTGTGTCATGGTGTTTGAATTGATGTTAAGTGGACACAGAGACAACACATTTTCTGTTCCTGATGCAGAGGCACTGACTGCTTGTCTGATTTTCTGAATTTTGTCAGTGAAGAAGAAGGCAAAATCATTGCACGCCCTGGTGGATAGAAATTCAGAGGCTACTGACACTGGGGGGTTAGTTAGTCTGTTGACGGTAGCAAACAAGGCACGTGTGTTGTTTTTGTTTTTGGTAATGATGTCAGAGAAGAAAGATTGTCGTGCGTTTTTCAATTCCAAATTATAAAGGCCAAGTCTCTCTTTATAGATTTCAAAGTGAACCTGGAGATTTGTTTTTCGCCACCTGCGTTCAGCTTTTCGACATTCTCTTTTTTCTGCACTCACGGTCATGGCCTTTCTCCATGGAGATATTTTCTTGCCAGACACTTCCTTTACCTTAGTTGGAGCAATGGCATCTATAACATTTTTAATTTTTGAATTAAAATGATCTACTAGCTCATTTACTGAGATGTTAGCAGGGGCAAGTGTGGAAGAAAAATTCTGAGTAAACATTTCCCTAGTATTTTCAGTTAAATATCGCTTTGTGGTTACCTCTTTTTGAACATTTTTGTGACAGAAATAGAGCTCTCAAAGAAAACACAGGAATGGTCAGAGAGTGCAACATCAGTCACCACAACCTTAGAGATATTCAGACCCTTTGAGATAATTAAGTCCAGAGTGTGCCCCTTATTGTGCGTGGGCTCCGTCACATGCTGAGTCAGTCCATAGCTATCAAGAACACAAAACAGTTATTTTGCCCCTCTGTCCTGGGGGTTGTCAACATGGATGTTAAAATCACCAACAATGACTAGACCAGGGGTGGCCAACCAGTCAGAGGTTAAGAGCCACATTTTTTCTATGTTACTGCAAAGAGCCACATCAAACACACAGGCACTGATACCGCTTGTTTCAGTTTTTTTGTTTTCTGGAGACAAGATTTCAACCACGTCACTGATGCATTTTTGTGGCATTGGGATATATATTTTTTAAATCCTCTGGAGCAGAGAGAGGAGCTGTGGATTATTGTTATTGATTAATGCATCAGTGTTTCTTAGGGTCAAAAACACTAAACTCACAACTTAAAATGAAAGCGTTTAGTTTATTTAATAAAAGAGCACATGTTCAATGTGAAAAGTGACAGTAGTTATAGATTATTTGCAATTTGGTGCTATATATATTAAAAAAAAAAAATTATATATATTTTTTAAACACCTTGAATTTCAGGGGGGGGGCGGGGCTCCGTTGGCGGGGCGCAGCGCCCCTCCAAAACAATGGTAGGGGAAACACTGGATAGTGTTTAATCAACGATAGGTTTCCCCCCCTCAAAGGTGATTGGTTCACTGCATCGCAGGTATTATTGTGATTGGCTCTTGGGCCACATCAAAATTAGACTTGCTGTCATCCTCTCATACTGACACCTGACACCACACATACACACGTAGGGAGAGCCGGGACGAAAGTAACGGAGCGATTTTATCCGAGCCCAAACAACTTTGACCGGCCAAATTACGTTAATACTTAACAGACCTACTAAATATCAGGTTTAACTGTCAGGAGTAGCTAGCTAGTGTTGTCACGATACCAACATTTTGGTTTCGATACCAAGTCAAGAATTGCGATTCCGATTATTTTTCGATACTTTTCTTAAAAAACAGTCTTAAATGTAATTATTGTGCTTTATTTCACACCAGAACCATAACCATAACACAAACTTTTAAACAATGAGAACAATAAATTAAATAAATGACAAGATTTCCTATTAAATACAATTAATACATTTCTTACAGACAGGCCTCGTGGTGTCCGTAGGCTTGCCCTCACTGTCAGAGATATCGCTCAAATACTTCCAAATTTCGCTTCTGGCGTCTTTTTTGTCAACAAGCCGAGGCGCAGCGGCAGTTGCACTCCCACTTGCAGCCATGCTTCTCGCTTTCTCACATGCTCTGGCAGCTAGCGCGTGCACGAGAGAGGGGAGGGACTTAGAGCGTGCTTGAGAGGGGCGGGACTGCAGGCACGGCTGCAGTGCAGGGAGTGGAAGCAGAGCGCTGAACACACACGGCTCTTATTAAAACGGCGCTTTCTCACCGGAGTACTTTCCCCCGTCATTCTTAAAGTACCGATACTAATGAAACGGAGGAATCGTAACGTTTTTAACGACAGGGTATCGCGGTATACCTTTCAAG